TTTTATGTATGTATAGTTAATAGACTACATTATTTGGCTACTTTGACCATCGGCCACTATAGATCAAGTAACATAATCTATAAAGGTGAGAATCAAGATATTTCATGATATAGTTAATGCGTTTGGGAATGTTTCGAGTAAAAAGAAAAAACTAAACAAAAACAGAGTGCTATTGTGGCTGCTGTGTGTCACATGACGACCTCCCCCCCACTCGTGCCCCCTCAAAAATAATGAGTGCATGCCTCTGGCCATCCAAGATGTAGGTGAATTTATTTTTTCATCAGAACAAATTTGGAGAAATGTAGCATTACATCACTTGCTCAACAATGGATCCTCTGCAGTGAATGGGTGCCGTCAGAATGAGAGTCCAAACAGCTGATAAAAACATCACAATAATCCGCAAATAATCCACACGACTCCAGTCCATCAATAAATGTCTTGTGAAGTGAAAAGCAGTGTTTTTAACAAACAAATCCACCAAGACATTTTTTAGCTTTTTGCTTCTAGCTAAAAAATTGTCGCTTATGGCTAAAATACAAGTCCTCTATCCGTAATATTGCTTTCTCCAGTGAAAAATGTTGAGATCAAGCAACGTTTACAAGCAAAAACAGTCCAAAACCGTTCTAAACAAATATGTTGGTGGATTTTGATGTAAGATGACAACAGGGGATAGACTTTTTCACTGGAGGAAGCGTTAATACAGATTATCTTGGCCAGAACACACAGCTTTTTGCTTCACAAGACATTAATTGATGGACTGGAGTGGTGTGGATTACTTGTGGATTATCACAATGTTTTTATCAGCTGTTTGGACTCACATTTTGACGGCACCCATTCACTACAGAGGACCCATTGGTGAGCAAGTGATGTAATGCTTACATTTCACCAAATTTGTTCTGATGAAGAAACTGCCTGAGGGTGAGTAAATCTTCAGCAATTTTTCATTTTTGGGTGAACTGTCCCTTTAAGAAGTGAATTATCAGTTACATATAACACCTTCTATCTCTTTTTTACAATTACTTTACCTGGCGCTCTTCTGTGGAGACTGTATCCCAGATCTCAAGAACCTTAACATATGACCGTCCATTCTGTAGGAGTTTTGTGATACCAGCTTGATTTTGAGAGATCAACTCAACTGCACTGTCCTCTGAACATAGAAATAAAGTGAACATTAAACATAAAGTGATCTCAAACAGAAATGTCTACCATTAATCAGTCAAACTTTTACCTTCAGAACTATTCTTGTCCCTATTAACCTGTTCCGATTCAGATGACTCCTTAACACAGTCACGTTTTACAACTTGAGGGTCCATCAACTCAGTTTCCACAGAAGTCTGCTTCATGAGGTCATTGAGAATGTTCTTACAACCAACGGCCACATCAAACATCTGCAAGCTGTCTGCAGCGGCGATGAGACGGGTGAAGTTGTGTTTACCGGGAGGCAGTTTACCAGTGTACACCATGTCCAGAAGAGAAGAAAACTCTTGAGAGGACAGTAGATCTGTGTCGATCGAGATGCTGTCAGAACCTTCCAGAACAGACTTAAATAACATACTGGAGGCCGCCAGCACTAGTTTGTGAGCGGGGTGCAGGGTCTCACCCACCAGGATGGAGCAGTCGCAAAACTGCTTCTCTTTTCGTAAAGCATGCAGTTGCTGCATGAGCTGTCGGCTGTAGTTTGGGAGCTCCATCTTGTACCTTTGTTTTAGAGGGACAAGAGAAAAATGTATTAAAATTAAGTGTGTTAATCTGTAAAGCGAAAACAAATAATGTCAATGGGCTAAAAAAAATAATATTGTTTTACCTTTGAATAAAGTAAATTTTTCTCAACCCACTGACAGACATTTGTTCTTGTTTTAAGCATAAACTCAGTAATTAATTCTGATACATTTTAGTTAATATCGTAAATTATTTCGCTTCACAAGTAAATGTGTCTTGAACATGTCTAAGTCATTCTCCTGCTCAAGTAAACTTATCTTGATTTAAGAAAGTTTAGATATTTGTACTGGAAAGCAAGAATGTATACTTACATAAAAATAATATTATTTGCCCTTTAATAATATATACACCCCAGTGACAGATAAACTCACTTAATTTCAATCTTTTTTCTTTTTTCTTAAGTAATTTTGCTGCTTCTTTTATCTTGGTTTTAGAATTTCTAAATATTTTAATGGAAAACACGATAAAAATACTAAGTATGAATATTCACACTATGCTCAGAGATGACCCAAAAATTATTTTGGAGTGAAATATTCATATACTGTTCTTAAATAAAAGTGCAAGAGGTTCTTGACCGAAATCTACTCATGCACACTGACTATAGTACAGCAAGTGTTCAATGATATCTCTGTTTATGTCATAACTTATGGCATAAACAGAGATATTATTGAACATTTGCTGCACTATAGTACTTTCCGTCAAGAACCTCTTGCACTTTTATTTTATGACTCATAACTGCTCTAAAAGCATATGATTATTTTGACAAGTAAAATGAAAATAACAATACATCAGGTGTTATAATAATTGATAGGGAGACATTTTAGCCTGTTTATTCCAAGTATAATCATAGGGATATTGCTTCACATAATATATAATAACATAAAGGGCACTATAAAAATGAAATTAGACGATTTTTATCTTCATTACGACAACAGAATAACGTTAGGCAAACAACAAAGATTTAACTACATAAGCTAAACGCATAATCACGTGCAGTGAGTGACATTTCCGTTTTCAGCTAACCTGACATGCTATCTGATGCTAATATAAAAAAATAAAAGCAGCAAAACGTACAAACAGCACAATCTTAGAGCAAAATTATTGTGCCTCATACAGTACACTACAGCTCCAGTCCACACTTCCCCTTTACCTTTAAATTCAAATGATCCGGCTCTTTATTTAAACTCCTTCGAAGGACAACATTCCGCCGCGCCCAAAATACTGCGATTATGCGCATGCGCGTCAAGATTAGCGACCCCCTGATGACATTATGCGCATGCGCGTCAAGAGTTGCGTCCCTTTATATACGCATGCGTATAATGAACAGCTGGTTTTCGGGAAGCTTTGAAAGGATGATTAGAAACACACAAATACTCCTCCGTATACATCAATCATGTAGTCACGTACACGCACTCAAAAAGCTTTATGATTTTATGTATAAAAATGCTCGAATATAATGCGTTTTAATTACATTAAAATGCCATTTATTGCATTTGAGCCGTTTTATTTTGTCTTGTATCTCTACACAGATAGGTTTATAGTTGTAAATCACTCCAAAACCTATATTTTTTAATGTTGTATTAACCACTTGGGATCCAGCGATTCAATGCTGTCATCAGCAAAAGTTCAAATAAAATGACTCTCAGTTCCTAAAATTGGATGGAAATATATATATATATATTATAAATTTGTTATGCAACTGTCATAATTTGATTGTTTTTTTTTTCTTCTCAGGAACATTTTAGAAAGTTTTCAATCTTTACAGTTTTCTCCTTAAAGATATTTTCTTCTTTTGGAGAGATGCTGCAGTTGAACAGGGTAAAACAAACTATAAAATGTGATTCCCCCCCAAGCCCCTGAATAAATAAATAAATACTAGCCACTGTGTGTAAGTTGGGAACACAGATTTTTGAATTTGTTAATTAAAACATCTTTCATAGCTGATTAATATATAAAGTTTGGTATATGGGAGTTTTGTGTCAAAATGCTTAAACATTTAGGTTTTTCAATGCAGGTTAAAAGTATGTACATATTTATAGTGATATGAATATAGTGATATGGACAAAATAGATTTTTTTTTAAATTAATTAATTTTTTACCGTAAGTATGATTTTTATTTTTATTTTTTGCCGTCTTAAGATGCTGACTGGACCAGAAGCGTACAACCCTACAACATACATATTTAATACAAATGAATATAAATGCTCCTATAAAAGTACAATTTCTGCAATTGCTCTACGCATAAACTGCACATCTGAAGATGTAAAAAGAATATTTATTGCCCATATGAAAGAACATACAGAAAAGTTCACACAAATGTCTGCTTTATATTTCAAGTAGCAGAACATGTCTAAACTATTTAACAATGCTGTAATATTTCCCACTTCTGGAAATGTGTCCTATTTATCCTCATCTTTCTAGACGCCTCTCCACTGCTGTATTTGGATGAGGTTATTTACATGAATGAAACGAAGACTAAATATTTTTTAATATTCAAGTTGCTCATGCATTCTTAAATATGTACGAGCTCTATTGCAGTGCCATCACAAGCTTCTTTTCAACAAAGAATTTACAGAGACTTACTGTTTTACACACAAAATATGATCAGGCCATAATCTCTGAACATGACATTGCAACAAACAAGGAGGAATTCCGATTTTCCTTGAAATGGAACGTCCTTTGAGGAAATCTCGACCCGTATTTTTCACAGTCATGTTAAGTACGACCGCAAAGTCTTGCAGAATGCATCAACGTCTTTCAATATTAAAAGCGAGCATGATGTTTTAAAGCAAAATGACACTTTTGAAGTTGTTGCAACATTCAATAACAAAATAAAAAATAAAACCAAAAAAGAAAATAAAAAAAGGCTTCCCAAGAATGAACATCTATGTGTAATTCAAGCTTTATCCTTGCTCAGACATTGTCAGCATTGTTCCACATCTGGAGCCTCACTCAGTGTCCTAACAGCCCAGTGCCTGAAAAACAGGAAACAAATATGATAGAGCATGAATAATGTTTGATAATATCATGTTTCTGGATTCTTTCACAAAGGCTTTGCATGTCTGAAATGATCACAATTGCATATTCATACCTTTAAATCCTTCTTCAGGCATACAGACTAGAAAAAAAAAACACTGCATCAAAAAAAACCCCCCAGAAATAGGTGTTGGAAATTAGACATACTGGTAAGAGAATTTAAGCTTACATAAACAGCACTTACCTTGATAAACATCATCCATTGCAGCATAATCAGCAATGGGTTCATCAGCCTGTAGAGGAAAAAGTCCAAGTAAATAATCCTTAAAACAAACAGCTAAAAGTCTAATTTAATACACCTACATTACCGTTTAAAAGTTTGTGGTGAGTTTTTTTTTCTTTGAAAGAAATACTTTTATTCAGAGCACACATGATTAAAAGTCCCAGCATTTATGATGCTATTTCAAATAAATGCTATTCTTTTTAACTTTCTATACATTAAGAGACCTTGAAACAACTGTTTTCATCATTGATAATAAGAAATGTTTCTTGAGCAGCAAATCATCATATCAGAATGATTTCTGAAGGATCATGTGACGCTGAAGCCTGGAGTTATGATGCTGAAAACTCAACTGTAATAATATTTCACAATATTACTGTTTTTACCGTATTTTTGATCAAATAAATGAGCAGAAGACACTTCTTTCAAAAACATAGCCAATGTATCTGTTCCCGTCAAAACGAGTCGAGAGTTACCTTAAGGCAAATGATGCTCTCTGGAATGACTCCGAGACTTCCTAGTGTGGCGGAGTCATCTGTTAAACAGCGTCCGTCTATGGATAGGTTTTGATCGAATGGAGCCACAGAGAATGCATGCATGATCTGTGGACGCAGTCATTACAAAATAGACTTCGTGCTGCATCACATAAAAAAAAAAAGTAAATACTTAATTGTCACTGCACTAACAGACCTGGATCTTCAGCTCTTTGAGTGTCTGGTTGGCAGAGACTATGAGGGCTTTCTCTCCACGGAGTTTCCTGTGCCTTGTACTCCTCCTGATGCCTGATTTGCAGGCAGCGGTCACGGGGGGCATAGAAAGAGAGGCAGTCTCATTCAGCTTCTGCCGTTTGGCTCCAACCTCAGACTGATTTAAACATGGGGGCATGAGACATAGATAGATAGTCGGATACTTGGATAGATAGACATATCGACAATCGCATAGACAGTCAGATAGACAGAAAGATGTATAGACCGTCAGATAGATAGACAGACAGACAAGAGATCATCTTTAAACATACCTGACTGAAGTCTGGATCTTTCTCTCCATCCATCTTTGGCTCTTCTCTTTCGTCCTCCACATCTGACCCACTCACACTGAACTCGGGAGCGGATTCCTTAATCATCTATAAGAGAGAAAGAAAAAGGCACAGATGAGTTATTCCTGGTTGTACACTCATAGTGTTTCGGGTTAAACTGAGGCGACGTGATCATGCAAAAACTCACCCTTTTCTTGTCAATGACTTTGCGAACATAGACCGTGGCCTGCGCGTACTCACTCATGTCCCTCTGCTGCTGGAATATGAAGCCTTCTCTGCATTCCCGACACAGATCTAAGACCACAACACACATTCTCACATGAAATACAATGTCTGTTTGAGGAACCTTGGAGAAACTCCTGGCTGAGGGTTGACGGTTTAGCTCACCTGGATAAGTCTGGTATTGCACATTGCCATTGTCGTGTGTTTTGTCATGAATCCGACATATGGAGATGGCCTGGTCCACCAAAAACATTTTGCTGATCACCTCCCATTCAGCAGGCCAGAGAAGTGCTATACTGTGCATTGACAGACACGAACACTCAGACTTGAAACTGCTCTTGATATGGATAGTTGACTTTTTAGATTAAAATTGACATGTATAAGGAAACATACATTGTTTACAAGTTTAGGTTCCTTAAGATTTTTTAATTGAGAGGCTGCATTTATTTGATTAAAAACACAGTAAAACGGTAACATTGTGAAATATTATTACAATTTAAAATAACTGTCTTTTTCAGCATCATTACTCCAGTCTTCAGTGTCACATGATCCTTCAGAAATCATTCTAATATGCTGATTTGCTGACATTTGAGAGGTTAGGAGTGAGTAACTCACTGTTGAGCGTCTCCTTGCAGCATGGAGTCATATGTGAACATGAAGCCTCCGTGAGGACAGAGCAGGAGACTGTTCCCCACACTGGACACTGGGTTGCTCTTTGCTGGCCTCCTGTGGTGATCAGGTATAACAGAAGACATTACGATAATTTAGGACATGTCAAAATGATCCATATTTAAACTGAAAAGTTATCTTAGTAATCACAGAAATGTAAAAAAATAAAAAATAAAAAATCATTACCTGATAAATTTCCTCCATTCATCTACAAAGTAAAGGGGTACAACATACAGAGCATCTGTCTCCTAAAACACAATTCAAACCCAAGTCAGTGAACTGAAAATAAGAATGAAACACTTATGTTCACCCTTTCTACTGTAAGACACTTATATTACTCAAAACAAAAACTGAAACTGAATCTTTTATTTGTGGAAAATGGCATCACCTGTGGCCATTTCTGCAGTGTGGGCCGATTCTTCTCCTGGAAGAGGTTGAGAAGGGAGCTCTTTTGTTCATTTGCCATCATTCTGTTCAAAGCCTCATTTTCTTTCCCTTCTCTTTCCAGCCTCTGAAATACACAGTCAATCTGAAAACCTTTGCCCAAAAAATATGCTCGGTAAACAGCTCACAAGGTTTTGAGTGTCCGCTACGACAGTTGTGCTAATCGATCAACTTATTACCATGCACTGCTGACAGGCCTCGTTATTTTGCGTGAACTCTGGTGCTCTGGGGAAATACAACCGCAGTTTATTCCACACCTCAGCAGAAACCAGCCGCCTATCATTCTCTAGTATATTCAGACCGCCTGAGGGAGAAAGAAACAATACAATTACATAAACCAACCTGGCTAATGAATAATACACAATTTCAATCATTTAAATGAAGTAAATATTCATTTAAAATGTTTCATTCATATAAAATGTTCATTTAATGACAGCATTTTTGTGCATCACTAAAAACATTAATAAACAGGATAGATGCGCCACAAAATATTGAAAATGTTTAATTTAGTTTTCAGTTTTATCCACAGAGAAAACAAACCATGATAACAGAGAATGTCTTCATTAAAGTTCTTCATCTCTTCACCATCCCCATCTTCGTTATCTCCTTTAACTCCATCGGCTAACAAAA